TAATTAATTAATTAATTAATTAATTAATTAATTAATTAATTAATTAATTAATTAATTAATTAATTAATAATAAATGAATAAATAGGTAAATAAATTAATTAATATAAATATAAATATAAATAAATATATATATTATTATGTATATATATAAATATGCATGCAATAAATATTAATTATATTTATAAATATAATAAATATAAATAATGTATAGGTATTCATTATATTGATATTTTCTTTATGAATATATATCTGTTATTATTTTTATTGTTGCTGCTGTTGCTGCTGCTGCTGCTGCTGCTGCTGCTGCTGCTGCAGCACCAACCCATAGACTCCGCCCTTCGCCATTTTTTGAGTTTTTTTCGTTTGCCGGGCGAAGCGCAAAAGATCGATCGAATCATCGAAGCATTTGCCAATCGATTCTATGAGACGGCTTGCTGCAGCAGCAGCAGCAGCAGCAGCAGCAGCAGCAGCAGCAGCAGCAGATATCTGAGGTGTATCTTGAGCTATTGTATCATCGTATAAAAAAGAATAAATGGATCCCTCCTCCTGATCTCCCTTTTCTTACTCAATCCTTGCTGCTGCTCTCTCCTCCTGCTGCTCTTCCTACTCTTGCTGCTGCTTCTTCTTTTCCTGCTGCAGCAGCAGCTGGTGGTGGTTCTGGTGCAGCAGCAGCAGCAACAGCAGCAGCACTGCCACGGCTGTATAAGGAGCCATTCATCCTTGATCTTGTTCGTCATCCTTCCCCCACAACCAGCAGCAGCAGCAACAACAGCAGCAGCAGCAGCAGCAGCAGCAGCAGCAGTGGTGGTGCAGCAGCAGCAACAGCAGCAGCAGGAGGGGTAATTGATAATAATATGTTAATTCCTTTGCTGTATTATCTTGTAGATTGTTTATGGCATGAATTGCTTGATGCTTTTTGCGGTGTATTGGCAGCTTATTCACAGAGGAAATCAGCAGCAGCAGCAGCAGCAGCAGCAGCAGCAGCAGCAGCAACAGCAGCAGAAGAAGCAGCAGCAGCAGAAAAAGCTGTAAAAGGAATTGGTTTGCTGCTTGAGCTTGGCTGCCTAGAGAAACATATTGAATGCATGCAATCAGCAGCAGCAGCACTGCAGCAGCAAGCTGGCTTCCGTTATGCGCAGCAGCGGCTGCTGCAGCAACACACGAATATACAAGCAGCAGTGCTGCTGCTGCATGCAGCACTGCAGCACGGGGCTGTATTTACTGCTGCAGCATGGAGGGATGTCTTGCTGCTTATATCTCAGTATGAGAGTCTTCGTGCTGCACCTACAGCAGCAGCAGCAGCAGAAGCAGCAGCAGAAACAAATACTAAACAAACAAGACAACAGGCAGCAGCAGCAGCAGCTGCAGCAGCAGCAGCAGCAAAAGCAGCAGCAGCAGCAACTGCAGCAGCAGAAGCAGCAGCAGCAGCTGCTGCTGCTCCTATCACCCCCTTTGTCTATGAGAATGATATAAGGACACAACAACTGCAGCTGCAGCAACAGCAGCAACTCCAGCAGCAGCAGCAGCAGCAACAGCAGCAGCAGCAGCAGCAGGAGGACGAGGAGGAGGAGGAAATAAATAGATTAATTAGTAATGAATTAAATATAATAAAAGGAGAAGAAGAAGAAATAATAATAATAAATAAAAAAATAATAAATAATAATTATATAGATATAGATAGGGTATATGAGCTGCCTATACACCTGAATACAGCAGCAATTTGCTGCTTTTTGCATGCACTGCAGCAGATATCTATAATTGAGCTGCAGCAGCAGCCACCAAGATTATTTTCTTTACATAGATTAGTAGAGATATGCTGCTGCAGCAGCAGCAGCAAAATAAATAAATATATCTATTTGCTGCTGCAGCAGCACCTTCTTGCTGCTGTTTATCATCCTTCTTATTATATACAACTTAGTGCATTGGATGCATTAAGGCAAATAAGTACAAGATTTATTCTGCTGCAGTACCAGCAGCAGCAGCTGCTGCTGCATAAGAAGCAGCAGCAGCAGCAGCAGCAGCAGCAGCAGCAGCAGCACCAGCAGAAACAGCAGCAACAGCAGCAGAAACAGCTGCAGCAGAAGCAGCAGCAGTTGCTGCAGCAGAAGCAGCAGCAGTTGGAGGAAGACTCAGAGCAACAGTCGAAGGAAGAGCAGCAGCAAGACAGTGGAGAGGATCAGCAGCAGCAGCAGCAACTGCAGCAGCAGCAACTGCAGCAGCAGCAGCAGCAGCAAAAGGGAGATGAAGAGGAAGAGGAGACAATAATAATGGAGGAATTAATGAATATAGATTTTGTGTCTCCTTTTGCTGCTGTATCTCTAAGTGCAGGAGCAGCAACAGCAGCAACAGCAACAGGACCAGCAGCAGCAACAGCAGCAGCAACAGCAGCAGCAGCAGCAGCAGCAATAAGAAGTTATATTATAGATATATTAAATAATATTATCTTTGCTGTTGGGCATAACATCTGCATAGGTTGGTCATCTATTATTATTTGTCTGCATGCAGAGGCAGCAGCAGCAATAACAGAAGCAGCAGCAGCAGCAAATGCAGCAGCAGCAGCTGCAGCAGCAGCAGCAACAGGAGCGTCGTCGTCGTTGTTGTTGCAGCAGCAACACGGGACGAATGCAGCAGCTATAACAGCAGCAAATAAAGCAGCAGCAGCAGATGCAGCAGCAGCAGCAGCAGCAGCAGCAGATAAATTAAATAAAAGGTTGCTGCCTATATTAAATATAATAAAAGAAATAATTAATAAATATTTTGCTGCTGTGCATGCAGCAGCAGCAGCAAATATTGTCTCCTTATTAACTCTTGTTGCTGCTGCTCCTCTTGTTCCTCATCTTGCTGCTGATGCTGTACATACACTAGAAGCAGCAGCAAATGCTCTATTACGTGCTGCAGACCAACAGCAGCAGCAGCAGCAGCAGCAAATCGAAGACAAACAGCAGCAAGACAAAGACACAGCAGCAGCTCCATCACCGCAGCAACATGAGCAGGCGCTGTCTACTCCTCTGCTCGGCCAACATGCTGCTGCTGCTGCTGCTGCACCTGCAGCAGCAACAGCAGCAGCAGCAGCACCTGCAGCAGCAACAGCAGCAGCAGCAGCACCTGCAGCAGCAGCAGCAGCAGCAGATCAGAGTTTCCCTGTCTTTGTTTCTATCCTGCTGGCGTTAGGGCAGCTGGCGTGTCGGCCTGAAGGTGCCGCAGCAGCTGCTGCTGCAGCAGCAGCAACAACGCCAGCAGCAACAGCAGCAGCAACAGCTGCTGCTGCTGCTGCTGCTGCACCTGTAGCAGAAATAGCAACAGCAACAGCAGCAACAGCAGCAGAAATGGCCAGCTACCCTTCTGCTGGTGCTGCTGCTCTTCTTACGCGTACTGCAGCGCCACAACCGCAAGCAGCAGCAACTGCAGCAGCAGCAGCAGCACCGGCAGTAGCAGCAGCACCACCAGCAGCACCACCACCAGCAGCAGCAGGTAGGGTTCCTGCTGCTGAGGAGGAGACACTTGAGGGACTGGCAAGGATAGGGGGAAGGAGAGGTGCTGCTCTCGCTGCTCTTTTCCGTTTGCTGCTGCAGCATGGTGGTCGGCTTGCTGCTGCACCAGCAGCAGCAACAGCACCAGCAACAGCAACAACAGCAGCAGCAGAACCACAGCAGCAGCAGCAGCAGCAGCAGCAGCAGCAGCAGCAGCTGTGGCGGATAGTATTAAAGGGTGCCTTATGTCCTGTCTTTGAGGATCTCTTCTTTGACCTCCATAAGTGTGCGCAGCAGCAGCAGCAGCAGCAGCAGCAGCAGCAACCGTTGCAGCAGCAGTTGCAGCAGCTACAGCAGCAGCAGCAACTACTGCAGCAGCAGCAGAAGCAGCAGGAGCAGCAACGGCTGCAGAACGTAACTGCTGCATCTCTCTTTATCCCCAACAGACCCCTCCAGTCCCTAGGCAGCAGCAGCAGCATCAGCAGCAGCAACAGCAGCAGCAGCAGCAGCAGCAGCAGCAGCAGCAGCAGCAGCAGCAGCAGCAGCGTGGTCCAACAGCAACAACAGCAGCAGCAGAACCACAGCAGCAGCAGCAGCAGCAGCAGCAGCAGCAGCAGCAGCTGTGGCGGATAGTATTAAAGGGTGCCTTATGTCCTGTCTTTGAGGATCTCTTCTTTGACCTCCATAAGTGTGCGCAGCAGCAGCAGCAGCAGCAGCAGCAGCAGCAACCGTTGCAGCAGCAGTTGCAGCAGCTACAGCAGCAGCAGCAACTACTGCAGCAGCAGCAGAAGCAGCAGGAGCAGCAACGGCTGCAGAACGTAACTGCTGCATCTCTCTTTATCCCCAACAGACCCCTCCAGTCCCTAGGCAGCAGCAGCAGCATCAGCAGCAGCAACAGCAGCAGCAGCAGCAGCAGCAGCAGCTTGGTGCTGCAGAATGGGCAGCTATTGTTGATGCTATTTCTGTAAGTACACATACAGCAGCAGCAGCAGCAACAGCAGCACCATTAGCAGCAACAGCAGCACCACCACCACCATTAGCAGCAGCAGCAACAGCAGCACCATTAGCAGCAACAGCAGCACCACCACCACCATTAGCAGCAGCAGCAGCAGCAGCAGCAGCAGGATATATAGGGTTGTTATGTAGGTATTTGCGCATGCATGCATTAATAAATAAATTTATTAATTTTATTAATAGTTATTTATTATATATTTATTTATTTATTTATTTATTTATTTATTTATTTATTTATTTATTTATTTATTGTATACAGGATGCATTAATAAGTTCATCTCCTCGTGATTTACTAAAGGGAGGTGCAGTTACACCCCAATTGCTGCTGCTGTCTTATGGTCTATATTCCTCCCCCTTCCCTCTGCAGCAGCAGCAGCAGCAGCAGCAGATGCAGCAAGTGCAGCAGCAGATGCAGCAGCAGCAGATGCATGCGCTGACAGCTACTGCAGACAAGCAATTGCAACTACAGCAACAGCAGCAACAGCAAAAGCAACAGCAGCAGCAAAAGCAACAGCCGGTGCAACAACAGCAGCAACAAAGACAGCCACAGCAGCAGCAGCAGCAGCAGCAACAGCAGCAGGAAGCAGCAGACATAGCCTCTAGCAACCCGCTAGAGTGGCTGCTGCATCACGGCCTGAGCAGCAACAGCAGTGCTGCTGCAGGTGCTGCTGCTGCTGCTGCAGACACTGCTGCAGCAGGTTACGGCCCTCTACCTATTGAGGATCGTCGTTTGTTGCTGAGTTCTTTGCCAGAGTCTGTCTGCAGCAGCAGCAGCAGCAACAGCAGCAGCAGCAGCATCAGCAGCAGCAGAGGAGCAGCAGCATCTTTCCCTAGGCTGCCCTTCGATCCAAGAGATTTAGCAGCAAGAAGTGTTGCACAGCTGCTGCTTATTGACTTGCTGAAGGTAAGACACCAGCAGCAGCAGCAGCAGCAGCAGCAGCAACAACAACAACAACAACAACAGCAGCAGCAGCAGCAACAACAGCAACACCAGCAGGAGCAGCAGGACCCACACACCATCCCTAGCATCATCACCATCACCACCAGGCCCACACCACTACCACAACCACCGCCAGCATCAGCAGCAACAGCAGCAACAGCAGCAGCATCAGCAGCATGAGCAGCAGGAGGAGGAGGATGAATAATATGTGTGTATATATGTATGTATGTTGTATACAGAAAGAATTGATGAATATTTCTTTGTTATCTTTTTTATCTTTTATTAATTTAATTTGCTCATTAGAGTCTTCTTTCCTTCTTGCTTTCTTATATAATCAACAGGTCTGTTGCTGCTGCTGTTGCTGCTGTTGCTGTTGCTGCTGTTGCTGCTGTTGCTGATGATGATGCTGATGATGATGCTGATGATGATGTTGCTGCTGATGCTGGTTCTAGTGATGTTCCTGCTCTTAGTGGTGGGTGTATTCCAGCAATATTTGCTGCTGCTGCTGTTGCTGTTGCTGCTGCTGTTGCTGCTGCTGCTTATGGTGGTGTCACAGACGTTTGTGCTGTTGCTTATCCTCTTCTTCTTCTGTTGTTGCTGCTGCTGCTGCTGTTGCTGCTGCTGCTGCTGCTGCTGCAGGTTCCTTTGCGTTTTTGGTTACAAAGGAATGGATTTATGTCTGGCCTTAAGCAGCTGCCGGGTTTACTCAAGCAGCACAGAGAAGCAGCAGCAGCAGCAGCAGCACTGCTGCTGTCTGCTATCAAATCGGGACACAAACAGCCAAAGAAACAGCAGCAGCAGCAGCAGCAGAGGCAGCAGCAGCAGCAGCAGCAGCAGCAGGATAAAGGCGAGTCCGCCACAGCTGGTAACTCTTCAGGGATAAGACCCACGGCTGCTGAGGATGCCGCTGCAGCAGCAACAGGAGATGCTGCAGCAGCAGCAGATGCAGATGCAGCAGCAGCAGATGCAGATGCAGCAGCAGCAGATGCAGCAGCAGCAGAGTTATCTGCGTTTGCTCTTCCTCGTTATTTACGTTTTTGTTGGTGGCATGTTGTACAATTCTTATGGAAGGAGCAGCAGGTGCAGCGGCTAATGGAGCAGCAGCAGCAGCAGCAGCAGCAGATGCAGCAGCAGCAGCAGCAGCAGATGCAGCAGCAGCAGCAGCAAACTATGGCATTCAAGGAAGGATATGCACGCGATACAGGAAGAGTCATCAAACAAGCAGAGCTGGTAGGGAGAGCAGCAACAACTGGCTGCTGCTGCTGCTGTTGCTGCTGTTGCTGCTGCTGCATTTGTTATTGGTTGCTGCTGCAGCTGTAGTTCTTTTCTTTGCTGCTGCTGTTCCTCCTGCACCTCTGGTTAGTTGCTGCTGCTGCTGCTGCTGCTGCACGTCAACAAAAGTTTGCTAATGCCTGTTGCAGCTATATTCTAGCTCACCATCAACCGCAGCAGCAGCATCACCAGCAGCAGCAGCAGCAGCAGCAGCAGCAGCAGATAATGTATGTGTCTCTGCTGTATACAGACAGAAGGGAGTCGTGAATTATTGAATTTATCTTCTCTTCTTCGTGTTGCTGTTGTTGAAGGACTTGCTAGTCTACCTGATAAACTGTATGTTGCTGCTGCTGCTGCTGCTGCTGCTGCTGCTGCTGCTGCTGCTGTTGTTGTTGTTGCTGTTGCCGCTGCTGTTCTGCTGCTGCTGTTGTTGTTGTTGTTGTTGTTGCTGCTGCTGCTGCTGTTCGTGCTGCTGCTGTTGTCTTTGTTGTAGGGATGGAGGCCTCTTACCTCCTATTTATAAAATGTTTGCTGCTGCTGCTGCTGCTGCTGCTGCTGCTGTTGCTGTTGCTGCTGTTGCTGCTGCAGGGTTATCTCCAACGCTTCGTTAGTTTTGGGTTTGGTGCTGCAGTTAACCACTGCAACGTCACCTGTAAGAGCTGCTGCTGCTGCTGCTGCTGCTGCTGCTGTTGCTCACCCTGTTGCTGCTGGTGCTGCTGCTGCTGCTGCAGTTCTGCATGCTGTTATATACCTGAAGTTGTGTTGCTGCACATTGGGACTGCAGCAGCAAAAAAATTACTTTTGCTGCTGCTACTGCTGCATTGCTGCTGCTACCTTTGCTGCTGCAGTTATCACTGCTGCTGCTAATTCTATTGCTGTTGCTGTTGCTGTTGCTGCTGCTGCTGCTGCTGCTGCTGCAGGAGATACGCACTTCTGCTCATGCAGCAATGCAGAAGTTGCTGTCTGTTGTTCTTCCTGGGCAGTTTATGCCGCTGCAGTTGCTGCCGCCATTAGATGCAGCAGCAGCAGAACTAAATGCTGCTAAGGGAACTGCAGCAGCAGCAGCAGCAGCAGCAGCAGCAGCACCAACAACAGCAGCTACAGGAGGAGCAGCAACAAATACCTCAACTAATGCTGCAGCAAGAAGAGCTTAGTGTGGGGTATTATCTGCTGCTCTCCCAGGTGTATGTACACTGTATAGGCACACCACCTTACTTAGGGTGGAGTGCAGCAGCAGCAGCAGAAGCAGCAGCAGCAGCAGCAGCAACAGAAACAGGACCTGCTGTTGCTGCTGCTGTAGCAGCAGCAACAGCACTATCCATTATTATAGTAGGCAGATATAGTTTATGTTCCTGCTGCTGCAGTTGCTGCAGTTGCTGCTGTTGCTGCTGCTGCTGCTGAGCCCAAAAGTGGCTAGCAGCAAACAGACAAACAAAAAGAATTATTATTTTTCTTTAATTGTTTTTATTTTTTATTAGTAAATAAATAAATAAATAAATAAATAAATAAGTAAATAAATAAATAAATAATAAATAAATAATAAATAAATAGAAAAAATTATCTTTTTATTTATATAAGAAACCCCTTAGATCCAGCAACAGAGACAACTACGTAAACAACCCGAGGGTTTAGGGTTTAGGGTTTAGGGTTTAGGGTTTAGGGTTTAGGGTTTCTAGTGTTAATGTTATAATTATATTTTTTTTTTATTCCTATTAAATTGTTAAGAATACATATTAAATATTTCTAGGGTTTAGGGTTTAGGGTTTAGGGTTTAGGGTTTAGTGTGTGTATGTATAGTAGTTGCATGCATTCGTCTTTTTTTTTCTTCTTTTTATTTATATATAAATTATTGCCTATAAATAAAATAAAATAAATATAAATATAAATAAAAAAAGTAAATAAAATAAAATAAAATAAATATTATTTATCTATAATAATAAACAAGATTTATGCATGCATGCATCGTCTTCCTTATCATCATATAACAGCAGCAGGAGCAGCAGCAGCAGCAGCAGCTGCTGCTGCTGCTGCTGCTGCTGACGTACACCTCTCTCTGTGTCATCATAA